TGAAAATTCAATTTATTCCACTCACGAGATAACAATACATGAAATGAGTAACGAGTACTAAAAAAAAGCAAAACTTAATACAAATTAGACAGGCTTTTAACAAGAAAAAAAATATACTTATACAGTTTCGTTAACCTTTACTGAAGCAATGATGTTTTCAGTGACGTTTCATGGTACAGCTGATAATGAGGGCATTTTTTTAATGGTAGAGGAAAGGGAGTTCCAAATCACAAGACCAGAGTAGAATATAGTATTTCTATATTCCCTCGAGCAGTACGACCAATAGGTAGATTAGAGTGATAAGATTGTCTGATAGAGTGCCTTGAATTTGATTATTTTTTTAGAAAGCAGTTAAAATTACATTGGGGCTGATCTATAGTACACACGAAAAAAAAAAAAAAAAAACAGAAAAAACTTAACCAATGGAAATATGTGGAGTATATGCCCTACACATTTTTCAATTAGTTTATCACCCTATCTAGGCTGGAAAAATTATGAGAAAGGGAGGCTTTTTTATTTTGCATTTTGCTGAAGCCAAATACCACCCTTGGGTTATTTGCTGGTGCATTGATATTTAAAGTAAAACATGAATAAGATACAAACAAAATATACTATTTAATTTAAAAAAAAATCTTTTCCAAAAAAAAAAAAAAAAAACAAAACAAAACAAAAACAAAAAGAATTTAAAAAAAAAGTATTATAGAAGACATGTGCGCAAGGGTGGTAAACTACCTTTTTTTGGCCCTAATGTTTAAACATGCAACATAGCCATATGTAATATATGGTAAAATTTAACTACAATATACAATTTTTAAAATATGATCAGGGAATAAAGCACTTTCTATAGCATTCCGGTGTTAGCGGAAATACTTTTGCGTACGTTGGTTGTGTGGGCATCCCAAAACGTTATCATCGATATGCACTTACACCAAGCAACCGGGTCGATGCAACTCTTAACAATTTCCACTGCATTTAAAATTATTGAGCAAGGTAGCGATTATAGTAGGTATGGTCAAAGTCAAACAATGTATTAAATTTAGGGGGAGAGAGGCGAGTTATCCAGGAAAAGAAAAACACATTGGATCCTCGTCGAGAAATTTCCGGCGCCGACACTGGGAATTAAAAGTTTGGATGGCCTATGGGAACAATTAATGCTATATTTAGTAGTTATTATACTTTTTTATGGATTTAGAAAGCTATACTAACCTTGAACCTAGTTGAAGCCAACCCTTTTTCCGACTGTGGGTCCTGACCTGGAGCATAGCTAATCTGTACCCCGTGTCCCTCCTTGGTGGGTCCCTGTAGCATGGTTACCGTTACCGTGTCCAGACCGTGTCCCTCCTGGGTGTTATTGCAGCTGTCACCATCTGGCCTACCCGATACTACTGGGTCTGTTTGATTCTGTATAGTACATTATAAGTATCTTACTCGACAGTACTGTAAACCAGTAAAGGAGTCTGAAGTCGCTCTTGATTAACACATTGTTTCGGGAGCAGATCCAGGATATTTTTGCCGAAGGCGTGGGCGAAGTGCCACCGAAAACATAGTCCTATAGGCCGAGGGGAGGGGGTTGATTTTTTAAACTATTGTGGGGTTCATGGAGAGTAGCGTATTCCTCTGAAACCTTCGCAGTTGTAGCTATTTTATTCTCTTTTCTACTTTAAATAATTACACACTTGTTGGTTAGGGATTTTTGGACACCCTGTATCCACAACTGTGTTTCTCTGTCTGTAAACCAGAAGGGAAATGTATATGCTCTATCCCGCGCACTACTATTACTTTACCTGTTGTAGATATCTACAGTAATTTGTATTAGTCAATCGTGACTTTATCACTGCAGTGCCCAATAATTTTTCTATCCCAACCGTGCACTAATTTCTCATTAGTGCGCGCTTTGCTTGTTCTTTATAGGTTTGTGTGCAAGTGGCCAATCAATCGCCATATCGTGCACCGACACCTGGTCAAAAATTGCATATTGTTACATACGGTACCGGTAATTAATATACGAATATAATTACTAATCAAATGGTGGTCTATTCATACTCTGCACCTCCCACGTACAAACTAAATGAGTGGAAGACTACGGCACAAGTTGTGCAGTATTTGTAGAGGCATCTATTATTACATGCACGGATTAACGTAAATGAAACAGAGCCAGTTTATACTCGATATGAATGTGTAACGTATTGAGGCTCAGGGCCAGAGTGTTTCCATGAGAACATCCTCACGTGGTGTATACGTGATCCGTGTTTGGTACACACGTTTTACGACGTTCGTGTTGATGAGGCTACGCGTTATGATAATCGAATAAACTGAATATAATACGCCTTTAAAATTTATATAGCACGCAAAGGATACAAAGAGATCGCAAAGTTATCTGGTCACTGGATTATTAGTATTTATATCGCTTCAAATACCACGACGGTACCGTAACCTACCAATTCATATTCTTACTTCTACATCAAGACCAAGATCAAAAGTACCGGTGTAGGTCCCACTACACATTAAGTGAAAATGAATTTGGTTTTAATCTGAATATAAAATACGCCTTTAAAATTTATATAGCACGCAAAGGAAAAAAGAGATCGCAAATTTACCTGGTCACTGGATTATTAGTATTTATATCGCCACAAATACCACGACGGTAACCCCCAATTCAAATTTTTAAAAATTCCCATAACCCTGCTACATGATGTTTAAACATGAAGAAAATGTGCTACCAACTTAAAGTGACTTTAATTTTTTTACTACCTAATCCGGACGTAAAGCCGCGAATATAAATATAAATATAAATAAATATATATGTTATATATAGGCCTATATATAGGCCTATATATATATATATAATATAAATCAAGTTTGCCGTTAATACGGTTAAATTATATAATAATCATCAAAGAAAGGTAAATACAATGTTAGAATAAAGGACATGATAATACATCGTGTAGCATAGCTCTCAATGAATGTAGTCCTGTAAATAAATGAATAAAGAAATTGTGTAATAAAATGCCTCTGGCGGGCACGAACCTGCGACCTATCAAGGCGCGCGTAATAACCATTAGACCACGGAGGCTTCATGGTTGAACAGATTCAAATACCACCAGATACACTCCATTACACAATAATTACGGCTACAAACAAATACTTGCATATATTATAAATCAAGATAGCCGTTAAAACTGTTAAATTATATAATTGAATCTGTTTAACCATGAAGCCAGGAAACGGAGTAGACTTATAAAACATACTTTTTATGCTAACATGAATATTATGAGCTGACCTCAGGTCTTCCAAAACATGACTGCTTTATAAACACTATGTATAAGTTGACATAATGATATTGGTTACAGTTAATCAAGATGATTTATTTAATTATTAGGATGTGATTATTGTTTATGTACGTATTAATACACGCAATTTACAGCTTGAGAAAATTACATGTGTCTGATGTTAGAACTGAACTCTTGTGAGTAAAATGTCAGCTTGAGACATTATTAATAACCATGTCTAGTTGGATCCTATAAATGTATTCATTTGAAATCGCTGCAGTGTTTCACTGATCGTCATCATGCGTTATATTTCCCATGTTATTTCCCCTCTGTAATTTTATGTACGGTACTGTATTCGCATATTGGATACTTTTGCTTATCTTGTATCAAAGTGGTTCCTATTAATATTAATAATATCATTAAAGTATTATTAATAATAATTATTATTATTATTGAAATATTCTTAATGTTATTGTACAGTAATCGTTAAAATATTACTATTATTAATATCATTAAACTATTAATAGTATTAATATTATTAAAATAAGAATAGTATTAATATTATTAATATTAATAATGATATTATTGTTACGGTCCCATCGTCAATATTCAGTCAGTATTTTGAGGTGGTCGTACCTTACATCGAATTATTTGCAATGTTAATCAATTGAAATTAATATTTTTCAATCGATCTACCTTTTCGTAACGCTAATGAGGGCAGCGAATTCAAACTCTCTAGTTGTTAAAACACCTTATTTTGTGAGCTAGCGACCCTCACTAAATCATCGAACCCTCAATTTTACCTTTCCCCATCTGCTCCCCTTTCCCATTTCAAGACGCCAAGATACCGCCACTGTGTTCAGTTGTATACATTATTTGTGAGACCCCTCTGAGCACTAAGGCCATACTTTGTAAGTGTAAGTACTTTACCTTTGGTTCAGTGGCGTATCTAGGGGCTGCACGAGGATAGCGCACACCCGGCCCCCAAATACTCGTGTCTCCCAAGTCTTTCACCCCACCAGAGACAGGTCTTTCACCCCACCCCCCCCCTAAAACAATCACGTCCAAGTAGTTAAAAGATCTCCTCAAATCACCTTATTTTACACGGGCTAGCACCCTCTTACCTAAGCAGCGCCCATCCCCCCCCCATCCCCACTCTCCAATTTCAAGACTCCAGACACGATACTGACTTGGTTGGCAACAGTCATGATATTTGTGTGCTGCATCAATTTGCAGCATTGAATTTTGAGAACAAATGAAACGGTTTCGAAGTTTAAAAATATTTAACCTTTGTGCACTTTTTGTAGCAATGCAGAAAAGTATTTTGCATCTCCTTTGGTTTTAATGCCCTCTTCAATTTCAATTCATCATCCCTGTTCTTAATTTTTGCCATGTTACTTGATTGTTTCCATTTTATTTGATGTTTGAATTTTGATTTGAAATTAAATTTACTTGATACTTGATATTTAAATTATCTAATATAATAATAATAATAATAATATTATTATTATTATTAATATTATTATTATTATTATCATTATTATTATTATTATTATTACAGTACTATTATTATTATCATCATTTTGTCATTGTTATTGGTATTGTTATTATTTAACATTGTATTAGCATACAATTCAATCCTCAAAACTAGAACTAATACTAACAAATAGTTCAAAAATTTTAATGAATTTCGTATAAATAAAATTAATTTTGTGTTCTTTTCCTCTGAAGGGCATGCTAAGGATATGCATATACAGTGGTCTGGTGTCTTTGGTGATATATATAGCATTGATGTGGAAACCCATATTACAACGCAGAGTACCAGTAGTTCAATACGAGAGATCCGCGGACTGTAATACCCAAAACAATAAACTTGTTCATGTGTTCGTCGATGAAAATACAACAGAATACCTACCTACGACTGATCCAACTCCGCCTGTAATCGATGGTTACTTGTCAGTTGAGGACAAGGTGAGTTTTCATAAAAGGCTTCCATGTTTACGTAGCGCGCCCCATCCCCCCTCCCCCCGTCGTCGGGGAGAGCATCCCCTTCCGTCGGTGAGAAAAAAAAATACAATTTGTTGGGTGAGAAGAAAAATATTCATATGCGTATTTTACATATTAGTAGACTTCTTGATCACTTCCGGGAGATTTTTTTAGCGATGTCCGACTACGCCCACTTACGCTCTCGTGGGGAGTCGGCCCCAAGCCATCGGACCCCCCCCCCACCCACGTCGGCCAAATCATTGATACCATTGTATACCTGTCTCTTATACACATCTAGATGTGTATAAGAGACAGCCATAATACGCAACGCATGGCTATGAAATCAAGATAATAATTCTACTTCGAACCAGGAAGTTGTTATACAACAATCCCCTCTTAGAACGAAAGCACTATATACTGTACTACATATATCAAGGACATCCAACTTAAATACATAAATATACAGAAACTAATGCTTCTGGCGATGTATCGTATAGACGGCATGGATTTCATTCCTAGGACCTTTTTTAAAGCGCAGTTTTAAGTAAACTAAGTATAAGAACCTAATGTTATCTGGCATTTAACTCGAATAACAACTTTTAATGAATATCAATATTATAGACGTACAACCATATATAAGAAATATTATCCAATTACCAACCAGCACACCATGATATTACCTCCAAATGTTTTCAAAACAGTAAGGTATCACTTTATGGTCACGTCAAGTAGGTCGAATCCACAAACGATTTCCCAATAAGAAACAACACGTTGTAAAGTGTACTATTTTCAGGCAACGTCGCGACGTTACCTGAAAATAATACTCTTTACATTACTAACAGACACGTTAAACTAGGATCGATTTTAAGTGTCGATTAAAGTGTCACCCAAAATCTCCGAATTACAATAAATGGCAGACCCATGCTGTAGCTCTCCTTGCCTGTTTGAAGTGTACTTATCCTATTTTACGTCAATTAATAGAACGATTCACAACGTCGCTGCGATGCGGATTCGGGAACCTAGCTTGGTTGGAGTATAATCTATAAATTTTCGCGACACCCGCCATTTTTTTTCTGAATTTCGTAAGTCTTATGAGCCATTGAGTTTCATACAAATTTCCTCCTCTCTGCAAACTTGGCAGGCCATGTATTTTGTTTATATCGCTAAGCCATGTCAGACAACTTCGATTTTCAAGAGACGGTATTTAAGCCGAGTAATCTCACAGCAAAGTCCGTGTACACTGTCCAAATAACCTTTCCTTAGAATATTAAATACTTGGGTTTCTTGGAATCGCCGTGCTTGCCTGTGCCAAAGGATAAACAACTTAAATAAAAATTACAGAAACAGTACCAAAGGTGCCATAGACCGATGTTTGATTAATGGCGTAGTCGTCAACGTTCAAACTTAATGCCGTCACGATGGCCTAACCATGGACGAAAACGTTACCTTCATTTTTTGTATTTGTTTTTAATACTCCCTAAATTCTCATGTCGACTAAACTCACTTAGGCCAGAGCCTTTGCCTTAAAACTGAAAGTAATCGTATAGGCCTGTTGTCTATTACAGTACGGTACATATATGAATATGCCGCAGAAGGATTTGGAATTTCTGTGTACTGTCTACTTGAAGCATGATGTTATGTGCAATATTCGTCGCACTCTAACTTCGACAAAATACGATATTTTATTATCTCCGCCAAAGGAGGCTATGCATTCAGCAGAACACACCTCGGGCATAAAAAAAAACTAACATAATCGGCCATACGTATTTAATTCTTCAGTATCCAAGGACGGGGCGAAAGTATGCACTATGGAGTAACTGCAGGGGTGGCGCCAGGATTTGCCCGATGGGGGGTGGGGAGGGGCGATGCCTCGACGAGGAGGAAGTTTTCCAAGATGAGAGCAAAGTGGGCGTAGTCGAGCGTCACTTGAAATAATATCGAAATTGGTTGACAGTTTAGGGATTTCAAAGGCTTATTTAATCGGTTTTAGAGTCTACATATAGGCCTAAATTTTTGGCGCCACCCCTGTGACGCTCTAGTTTAATTATGTTTTTTAGCTTTTATGGTTCTGTCTTCATGGGTTTTGATAGTCTTTAGCTGGTTTATGATTGAATTGTTTAGACATTTTATATTGTTCATGTTTTAAGGCACTTGACAGACTAACTCGTAGCTTCATTATGCTGAATTGCGTATGGGCGTGGTCCGTGATTACCTAGCCGCCGTAAAAAGAGGCGCTTATAGTAGTTCACATCATTCAACAGCAGGGCTGAAATAAACCATAGCTTCGGAGTAGCTCCATACTCTTCCGAAAGGTGAAATGGGTTCTTTAACGTGCACATGGGCCAGATACAATGGACCTCCATTTTAAGTCCTTATCCGAGATAACTTGGTTCTACCAACCGAACCCTGGTCGAGAAGCGGCTCGAACCAGCCGATGTTAAAGTTGTAGTGTTAGCGGCGCCCCTAAGTCGGTTTTAAGGCCAGGTCACACCTACACCGATAACGATACCGATAACGATATATCGTTGGCTTTGCGGTCACACCTGACCACAACGAAGAAAAATCGTAACGGCACTGGTTTTGGTCTAAATGAGTTTCTGATTCGATCCATTCATAGAAAATCTTTTGATGTACCTTTTTTGCAAGGTTTGCCTATGTCTAAACTAACTCCGGCTATAATAAAGTTTATTATAAAATTGAAAATGTTTTTTTTTTGTTTGTTAAAAAAGTATAATCATCAGGAATGATTACATAATCAATGTCGAAATATTGAATCCCAACACGATGACGTGTATTTCAATACTTGTATGTATTATAC